GTAAATGCGAGTCGTACGTCATTAAAAAGTGCGCGATTATAGGCGCGATGTAAGAAAGGATACACACGGTGGAGCAATGCGGAAGTTACATGTCTTTTGAGTGTTTGGGGGTGAAGCGTGCCAGCAGAAATGCAGGGTTGTTACAGAAATAAATCCGTATTTGAAGATATTTCACAAGAGGCATCGTTTTAAGTGCTCGTGGCAGTGCCTCTCCTTTTTTTTTCCCCACAGTATCAGACCAATGTTTTGATGACTTTTCAAAATATTGTGGAAAGAAAAACACTGCATAATTTTATTCGCATCTGCATCCATTGCATTTCGTGCTGTTTTACTTCATTTTCCGGGTCAGATAATAGTTTCAGCAGTGTATAGTGTAAATGCAAAAATCGGATATGGGTCACTTTTAAAAGATAATGTAAGCAGGTCGTCAAAAAAATCGGATATAGTCAGAAAATCGGATTTTGGCATCAATACCTGCAGTGTAAATGCAGCCTGAGAGAGTGAAAGTCCCGGTCGCGCGTGCACTTACCGTCTTCAAACTGTCTTGTGTAACGGGGGTACTTTTCTTATGGGACTTTTATTTTGACGGGTTTTTCTTTCTCCGGAGTGCTCGCGTGGGATGCAGAGACGTCTGGGAAGAAGAAGGGTGAGCAGTAGACCCAGCAATGTTACGAAGCAGACGCGCCAAGATACTTGCAGTACGAGAATTCGAGAGTTTCGCTGAAAACGTGAAGTAATACTGACAGATTGAGTTTTATGAGTGAGTATACCTACCCAGCAAACAGGGGACGTCCTCCGGACGTTGCGAACGTCTAATTAGGTCCGGATCTGGGGCCTCATTTATAACCGTTGCGTACGCACAAAACGGGCCCTGAAAGAGGTGTACGCCACTTCCGACGAATAAGTTGTGATTTATAAAAACAAACTTGACGGGAAAATTTGCACACCTGCACGCAAACTCTGACACATGCGTACAAATGTTTTGGAGATGGAGCAGTTTGGCGACACCGATGGTGAGCTCGAGTTAAATGTCTTTTTGGTCACTTTTAGACAGAAAATCTAAGGAGATTATACATATAAAGAAAGATAATACAAATATAATTTCACTCACCAAACCTATCACTTGAAGCAAATATCCATCCCTTCTTAAATATCCGCGCCAGCGAGCGTGTTGTGCCGTTTGGTGAAACTGACGCACATATAGCCTGTAATCTAAAGGCAGATCTAAAGGCAGAAGTAAGTAAAACCGTTATCTTCATTATGAGTCCATCCAAAAATACAGTGCATGTTCACAATAACAGTTCAAATACATAAATGAATGATTTAAACTATGTTTTACTTCTGATTTAAACATTTAGATTAAATATCCCTGCTGAAAAATCCAGCTAAAACCAGCCTAGGCTGGTTGGCTGGATTTGGCTGGTCTCCCAGCTTGGTCATAGTTGGTTTATAAGGCTTGTTTTAGAGGGTTTTTTTTTAGCTGGTCAGGCTGGTCTTGGCTGATCTTAGCTGGTCAGGCTGATCTTAGCTGGTCAGGCTGGTCTTAGCTGGTCAGGCTGGTCTTAGCTGGTCAGGCTGATCTTAGCTGGTCAGGCTGGTCTTAGCTGGTCAGGATGGTCTTGGCTGGTCAGGCTGGTCTTAAGGCGGGCATACACTGTGCGATTTTCGTCCGATTTTGAGCCGAATTCTGACTCGTGCGTCTCATTTTCGTGTCGGACCGATTTTCAGCTTTGTCGTGCGTCGTTTGTCGTTTGGCATGTCAGAAATTTTGGTCGCTCCTTGTGACTATATCGCACAGTTGAAGCAAAGCTACGAACCGATTGCCCTAAACTCAGTGTTTTTTCCCTCACTGCACCTGCGCGAAAACAGAAGTTTAACCATTTCATCTGCAGCAAAAATATAAAATTAAAGGGTGATTCTCCAACTATGGTACTTTTTCTGTTCTTGACAGATATTAAAAAAACTAAAAAACATTTCCACTTTTTTTTTTTCACACTTACTACATGTGTAGGGGAACTAAATAAAAACGAGCTACAAATTACTGTTGCTTACCTCCAGTTCGTGTTGCAAAATGGATAATATTACCCACCGTTTCAAGCCACCTGATATGTAACACCTCTTTTATTATTTTGTCAAACAATGTTTTTGAAATAAACCTGTTTTTAATTTTCATTGATGATTAATAATGGCAATGTTCGGACATATTATAGACTGTTATAGTTATTTTATATATAATTCATTGTAATCGACCTAAATGTTTTAGACAATTTTTAATGAGGAGTAAGATTAATATTTTATTATCCTCACAGCACGTTGGTTATGTGCTGTGAAAATATTGCGTGGCAAATTAATTATAATAGCGGATCAATTTAATAGTAAAATTAGCCTATAGGCCTTCCCTAATAATGATAATATAATAATAATAATAATTAAATGCATAAATTGAAAATACTAAATCATCTTGATACTGATAGCAGATGCTTGTTTTGACAATATCTCTGGATACATACACGTAAACAGGCGCAATCCAGGGGGTTATCGCAGATATTACACGTATAGTGTGAGCAGTGAAGTCGCAGCTCGACGATCGGACCGTACAGTGTGAGCACATAAATCCTGAACTTTGGCTTTGCATCGCATGCGATTTACTCGTTCAGTGTGAGTAGGTACCTTGCTGAAATCGCACAGACATCGCACAGTGTATGCCCGCCTTTAGCTGGTCAGTGTTGGTCTTAGCTGGTCAATGTTGGTCTTAGCTGGTCAGGCTGGCTAACTCTGTCTTCTCTATTTTCCTGCCAATGGTTGTTGTGACAAATAATAAAACAATTCCAAAGTACACTTTAAATAATCTTCAGGAGCACATGGCAACCATTTAAAATTCGTTTTTATTTAATATGGCAGCCCCTTAAAAAAAACAAACCATTGATATGTAAACAGTTATGTACAAAATTATTAATTGAAACGACTAAAATGCTAAAAACAAAAACAATATACAGACGTAACACTCGTAATTGAACACTTTGCTCAAAGTTTATATAATTCACACTTTCTGAGTTCATTTAATACTGGGGATTTTGCAGCGATAACAATAACAGAATTATAAACATACAGTTTCATTTTTCTTTTCTTTTTTATGATATCCTGTATTTTTTGGGGTATGTAATACCCCACTTGCTTCTCCCTCTTCTCTCTCTCTCTCCTTTTTCAGGTTCTCTTTGTTTGAGCCAGTCACTGAAACAGACTTGAAAGAGAAAATATTTTTAGATTATTAATTTGTCACTTTTTAACTAGTAAAATTAGGAAGACAAACTATATAGTGTCACATGTTTGTTCAAAATTTTCCCTTTTTTAACCATTTTTGTAAAAAGAAGACAAAAATGTCCATGTCAAAAAACTGCCATAAAAATGTGACGCTTTGGAGCACAGACTTAAGTTTGGTATCATTTTAAAGAAGACCCTTTGCAGATTATTGCTGAAGTAAAAAAAAAAAAAAAAAATAAGTAAATCCAAAAAAAGTTATATAGGTTTAAGTTTTTGAAAATTATTTATAAAAAATATTTTTTATAAAATATATATTTTATAAATCAGGTTGAACTCAAAACTGCAATAAAATCAAAGCCATTAATCTAAATAGGTTGTGTTCCAAATTTGAGGATGATATCTCAAAAAATGAGCTTTCGGTAACAGTTTGTTTGGGCATAGTAACATATTTTCCCCATTGGGTGTCAGCAAAACCCCACTGGTTCTCACAGTAATTGGATTTGAATTTGCAGTTTTTCTCTCTCAGTCGCTGCGTTCCAAACCGCATACTCAATGAGTAGGTACTTAATTTCAATAAGTACTTACTCATCGAGCGCTAAAAGAGTAGGTACTTTATAGCCAAATCTCGTTGAGTATGAATGCGAACCGGACATCTGCCATGTTGACGTTATCATGTGACCTACTACGCGTTATCACAAGCGCAACACCTTCATGCAATAAAAAAAAAATATGAACGATACGTTTAATTAATCTATAAATATCTTGATATTGATGAAACTTGCTCATTTTGTTGTGGTATTGTTGAAGAAACAGCTGCCTATTTATTTTGTGAATACATTTAGGGTTGATTTAAGTTGTTATATTTTACTAATGTGACCAACAGTGTTATTCTAACGATATTTTTTTTTATTAAGAAACCCCAAAATCATCATCTCTTGATTATGTTGTTAATTTCTTTATTTTATACCCAAAAAGTTTCTCCTTTAAGTTTTCCTCTTTTTCTTCATGAATTTACCTCGTTTCATCCCTCAGATATAACAACAACTTTTTTTATGTATTATGAAGAACTATAATGAAGATATTTAGCCTTTTTTATTGTTCTTATTTCCTGTGTATAAATATAATTTTATGTCATATTATGATGTACACAAACCAATGATCTTTATATTTTCTGTTTTGTCACTATGATTGTTACATAAACTATAGTATCTTTCCATGATCTTGCATATTAATAAGTTTAAATTATATGAGCGACAGGTGCTCTAACACTTCATAACATCAGTAACTTGACAGCACAACCTAGAACAGCGTTTGTAATGTCTGCACAAAGGAGACGGGCAGCTGCTTGAAGATCTCTTTTGGAGAAAACTGTTGATTTTATACTCCAAAAATGTAAGTATCACTGCTTAAAAATTAATATTACCTCAGAATGAATTTCATTGTTAGCCCACCCCAAAACTTAAACAAAATAATAATATTAAATGCTGACCTACTTATATAACTTTTTATATACTAAAACTATAATTTAATAAAACAAGCAAAATGTAATTTGTTTTGTAATATGACAGTAATGCATGAATTCATTTATATTGCTAAATGCAGTGAAACATCTCAATTGTCAGTCAATCGATGAATTAATGCATAAATTAATTACATTTTATATACTGACAACAATAAGAAACATGAATAAATGAGTAAAAGAACAAATAAAAGTAACCATCACAATAAACAAATGCATATACAAGTCAACACATGAAACAGCTTTATTCAAACTACAAGCATGTATTTACAGGCACTGAACCCCAAACCCTACTGCCGACTCAACACAGCGGTTCCTATTCTTTGATGACAGCATTCAGCATCATGAGCCTCTCTCCACCGGATAAACACACGCGTGTTCTCCTGTCCCTGTAACATACAGACAAGATTCACATTACGAGCTCAACACTGCATACATGTTGAGGTTGATGTGTTGACTCACTTTTAATCCAACCTAAATGTTCCTCAATATATCAACACCAATAAGGGACAAATTAAATAAATATCATGTTTAGTTACTTTATAGATGTTTTTATTCACAGCACATAATTTGTCTAATGTAAGCAGTGTTGACAACAGTGAATTATCCTACATAATAGCACACACATGTATTTTTCATGTTGGGATGTGCTCACCTGCAATACTTATACAATATTTTCCTTCCTGATGTTAATAGACATTTTAGCGTATTTAAGATGTATGGTTATGTAAATACACGTTGGAAACGTAAATTTACGGTTACTGGAGCTCCCCTGTTATCAATACATAATAAAACATGTGTTTACAGCAAAATCACAACTATACTATACTGTCTAACTCCTTTAGACGTTCAACAGTTAAAACGTTTACTCTATAGTAGTTTAACACATACGATTTAAACCGTATTTACTCACATTTGAAAACCCCCGCGTCGCTTATCTCCGCGATGTTGATATTGACGTATCCTCTCGCGTGGCCTCCTGGGATAGATGAGTATCATGAGTAGCCGTGGAAAAGCACTCAAAAATCTGGGCGGAAGCAGTAAGCCATCCTGGAACTTCTCGCCTACTCTTTTTACGAAAACTGATGTTTCGAACGTACTCCTTCACGTACTGTTTTCGCCTACTATATAGTAGGAAAGTAGGCATATTGGAACGCACTTAAGTCCGAATCTCGCGACAATTACTACGTCACCCAGGTAATTCTCGCCTACTCTTTTGGATTCATTAGGCTTGTTTGAGATGCGCCTCGCCTCGCCTGCAATGTAGTCGAGAGTAGGCGGCTGCAGTGAGAGGAGGAGTGAAAAAAGCGCAATCAAGCCGGACAGATCTAGGGTTCTCGCAGTGAATCAGACACCTGTGAGATCAAAGGCGGATATCGCGGGATTAACGGGATTCACGCTCGTGCACGTGTTGCTAATAAACTGGATGTGAGTTCTGTTGCTTTTATATAAAAATAAATAAAATGTAAATAAAAACCAAACTACTTGTTATTTAATTACATTCCAAATAGCCTATGGTTTATCAATCTTTTTTTTCTTTAATACAGACGTGTTTTTATATAGCCTATTGTTTTAACAAAAATGAAATATAACCCATATGGCACTGTCAGATAGTTTATTCACCCATAGCCTATGTATACACATAAAACATGATATCAGTTTTAAAATCAAACATTTTAAAAGAGAACAATTCATCTGGTGTTCTTTTATTTTTATTTATTTTACTTTTTTATTAGAATGCAAGTTACAAACATAGCCTACCTACAAGCACCACAATTCGTGAAACAAATAGGCCTATTATACAGCGACAAATACATAAACATCAGAATAAAATTAATAAAATAAATAAATCAATCAAAATAAGCTTAGCTTAAATAGACAGACTTACAAACTTCATCATCTATAAAATGAGAGCTATTTTTCACTTGAACATTTTAGAGTAGGCCTAGTATATTTGAGTTACTGACTATAGCTTTCTTATTTTTAACCCGTTTAAGAGATTCACAATATAGATCAGTTTCAATTTGAAAACAATAAATAAATAAAACATGGCCTTGATTTGGAGAATTTAGCTTAATGAATATGGAATTTACCTTCATCACTGTTGTTTAAACCAATGAGCATTAAGCTGTGTCGTCAGCAAGTCGTTTCCCATCATGCTTTTGATCAGCGCAGTCGGTGGAGAGCAACTGCGCGCGACTGCAGAATCCGACCCTTCCGCCTTGCGCTCGCGAGAGTTTTTTGACATACGTCGGCATGACATCAGAGCCAGGCGGACCGTTCTCGGACACATTTCTAACCGGCATGCATCTCGCGCTGATCACCGGTGATCGATTCTGCGCAGAATTTGCTCATCTCAAACAAGCCTATTCATACTTTTTTGCTCGCCTACTCTTTTTCCCATACTAAATAGTAGGGAAGTATGCGGTTTGGAACGCAGCCAGTTTACAAACACACACATGCGCACACACACACACAAAAAATATATAACACACATACTAACCACACTCTAACATCCATACCAACACACCCACACAAATATCGTTGCATAATTTATCCAGTTGGCTCTCTATAGTATGCCGAACCAGAAAACAAGAATTAAGCGATATTTGTTTTATAGGTCAAACTTAAAAAAAATGGCACTATCTGATAAAAAAATAGTAATTTTGAAGCCTTGCCATCAGAATGAAAGCCTCTTAACAAAGATTGCATAATTTTATAGTTAACTGAACTGGGGATTAAAAATGGCAGTTTTAATGCCATTAAACAATTTTCCTTTCTTTGTTTTTTTTTTTTTTTGAGGTATATGAATAAAGAACACTGTAGTATCGTGTAAGCATTTGTATGTATATTAAACCAGATTTAGTATTTATTGTAACTCCAGCATGTATACTGTCACGGGGTAAGGTTCAGGAATGCAGGAGTGCAAGCGGAAGGAACGGGAGGAGTCCAAATTCACAATGAAGGTAACATTTAATAGGAATACAGGCTGGAAGGCAGGGTAACACCGGGTAACATACAACATCGACCGACAACCATTGAGTAACACAGAGGGAACTAAATACACAAAATAATCAAACATAATGGGGTGAGAACAGGTGAAACAGATGATGATGACGAGGAACAGGTGGCTGATGAGGGAGTGAACACGGGATAGGGTGACGAGAGGATCCTGGGAAGTGTAGTGCTGCTGACGGGACAAACAGGTGAAGACGAAGACTGTGACATATACATAGAATAGCACTTTACTGTATATGTGTAATTTGTCTGAAAACAGTGGTGTCTTTTGTAATTGTAACTGATTTTTAAGGTGTTCTTTAAACCGTGTAGTATTCTATTTAAACTTGAATGTTAGTCTTGTTATGTGTTGTTTTGTGATGACCTGACGGGGGACTGCAGATGGAAAGTAGCCCTGGGGCTAATTCTGGCATATTTACATTACTGAAATGTTTATCAATATGCATTGTCCCTTTTAAATAAATAAATAAATAAATAAAAAATGGGTTTCAATGGGGACATTTTTGTCCAAAAGGTGCTGAGAGGGAATATTTTTTGTACCTAATGCAAAAAATATTTTTTTAAGAAAATGACGGTGAAATAGTAAAATTCAAGTCAAGTCAAGTCACATTTATTTATATAGCACTTTTCACAATACAGATTGTATCAAAGCAGCTTCACAGTGATAACATGAAAGTAGTACAACACAGATCAATAATATTGTTAAATATTAAATAACCCCAACTAAGCTAGCCAAAAGCAAGGCGACAGTGGCAAGGAACCAAAACTCCATCAGATTGGATGGAGAAAAAACCTTGGGAGAACCCAGGCTCAGTCGGGGGCCAGTTCTCCTCTGGCACATTCATATTGTTTATATATAAATATTAAATATAAATATTGTTTATGTATAAAACGGCGCCATAACATATCGCCGGCGTTGAGTCGTCTCTTCACAGGCTTTGGTCTTCTCATCACAGGCGTTGGGGCATCCGAAATCCCTGTGAGAGGCTGGATACAAAACTGGACCTGACGAACGCCATTTTTCTCGGGACAAGCGTCCCGAGATAACAGCAGAAAGGCAGATGGGAAATAATTAGCATAGCTGATGTTCATAATGATTTCCATTATACGGGAGTCGGTGTTAGAAAACCACTATCTCACAAACTCTCCGTAACCTGAACTCTCCGCAACCCAACCATACGCGCCGACCCGTTTGACTAAGGCTGTCGAGCCCCACTGGTGCGTTAAGCAGTTTCAGTGGCAAACGGTTCCGTATGGCATAACAGAGGACTAAAAGGTAAGCATTATGTGAATGCTTGACTAAAGAGATGCGTCTTTAATCTAGTTTTAAACTGTGTCAGCGAGTCAGAGCCTCGGACCGTATCGGGAAGGCTATTCCAGAGTTTTGGAGCTGAATGCGAGAACGCCCTCCCTCCTTTGCTGGACTTAGATAGCCTAGGAATGACCAGAAGCCTTGAATTTAGTGATCTTAAGGAACGCGGTGGATTGTAGGGCGAAAGAAGGTCCGTTAAGTACATAGGTGCTAAACCATTTAGGGCTTTATAGGTCAGTAGTAGTACTTTATAGTTGATACGGAACTTAATAGGTAACCAGTGTAGAGATGATAAAATCGGTGTTATATGATCATATTTTCTTGACCTAGTAAGAACTCTAGCAGCTGCATTTTGTACTAACTGTAGCTTGTTTATTGAGGATGCAGGACAACCGGCTAATAAAGCATTACAGTAATCTAGTCTCGAGGTCATGAATGTGTGAACTAATTTTTCTGCATCAGAAACAGATAGCATGTTACGTAGCTTAGCAATGTTTCTAAGGTGGAAAAAGGCTGTTCTTGTAACATATGAATTATTTTTTATGAAAGACAAGTTGCGGTCTAGTATAACACCCAGGTCTTTTACTGTAGTGGATAAAGTAACAGGACATCCGTCTATATTAAAGTTGTATTGTGAGAGGTTTTGTGAGTAGTTTTTTGGACCAATAAGTAATACCTCCGTTTTATCTGAATTTAATAGCAGGAAATTATGCGTCATCCAGCATTTTATATCTTTGAGACACATCATTTTAGATGAGTTAGTATTTTCATCTGGTCGTGATGAAATATATAATTGAGTGTCGTCAGCATAACAGTGAAAATTAATTCCATGTTTTCTTATAATATTACCAAGTGGCAGCATATATATTGAGAACAGCAGAGGGCCTAACACCGATCCTTGCGGTACTCCGTACTCCGTACTTTAGTCTACTGACGTTACCGATCCAACAGCTCGGCTTGCTTCACCAGCCGACCACGGATATGTTTCTCGACGTATTCCAGCTCCTGCTTCACCGTGAAGAGCTTGAATGTGTCTTCACCTGCACTCAGAGGTAATGTTAGACACGCATCTGATATGTTCGCCATTATAACAGATGAACAGTAAATTAGTAGTGATACTACAACTACCACTACTAATTTAGGACTGAAATTCCAGAAATAACCAGGATTCAGTGAAACGGGTGTAAAATGAGACGGCCAATAGGCGAGAGGCCACGCGTGGAATGCTAGCGGGCTAAAGGCTAGTAGCCGGGATTCGGAAGGTTGGATATAAGCTCATCAAAGTATTCACTTTAATTAGTGAATAGTTTGATGAGCTTAAAAAAGATGAAAACCATTGCCAAGGGCCACGTTCACTAGTCACAACTAAACATCTATAGTGAAGGGGTGGTCAAAATCCCTTGCCTCTTCAGTATATATTTCATAATATAATTTTGAATGATTATGTATTTCTTTTATAAAATCAATAATTAAGTATGTTTATTGTTACTTAATCATTTATTGACATAAATGTATTCTTTGTGCTTTTGCTTGTGAAATAATATTCTTAAATGCATGCTGATGTACATGCACAAGTCACCAGCTTCTTTTAGGTGCACAAGGCCATTTGTCTCTTTCTCTGGTCTCAGGAGAAAGGTTTATGGATCATAAAGGCGTCGTGAACACATATGTCCAACACATATGATACTTCTCTGTACAGATGGTCAAGCTCTATTGAGCATTGCTTTATTGAACTTTAA